ATTTTATCTCTCTATCCTTTATAACTAATGTATTATCAACTATGTTTTACGTTAATATACACTAACCATTGTATATTCCTTATATTTAATATATTATATGGGTGATGTATATCACTCAAATTTATGATAATATTATAAAAGATAATTCATGGCTATTAAGTACATAATAGTTTAATTGATATAAACTATAAGGAATACTCCTCCCGTTGGTGAGAATATCAACAAGATTTTGGATAATTAATGATAGAAAACCATTATATACCAATATTTGAAGAGTGAATAGAATGAATATTAGGTCGATGTCCATTACATTTAGAGTATTAAGATACTCTTATATAATTGTATAACCTCTATTCGATAGTAATATAGGATCTTATAGTTAGATATAGGAGTAAATTATATAAACTCGATCATGATACATAATATGAGGGTATCTCCCAAAGTATTACTAATATGTTAACTTAAAGATACTAGGTCACATAGTCCATATATAGGGATATCCTATGGGGACCAAGGTATATAGTATAAATAATAGTGAACACCCTAATAGATATGAGTATTAATGTTCTCCTCCTCTAGTATCTAATACTCATTAATTAGGGTCATACCCATTTGAAGTTAAACATTATGAGTGATTTACTCTATATTCACTTTTATTATCATCCTTAACTTTCATGGTTAAGGAGTCTTGACATAAGTGGTTTGCCATTTAACATACATCATATGATATAATCCAACCATAGATATAGGGATATACCAATAGGAACATAGAGGGTCCTTACTAACAAATATTAATGCCTAGCCTTAAACACTATCTATATCTCTATGGGAGAATAACAATAACTATCTATAATACAAATAGTATATTGGTAAAGTATTATAATTAGAGTTAAATCCTTAATAAATATTGGGAGTGGACAGTACCACTCATTTAAAATAATATGGTATTGACTATTTATTATAGTACTCTTGCATCCTAAGGTAATAGGCTACATGGTTAAGTAATTTAATCAATTACCTAATAATTTCATATCCAAGAGATCCTAAGTGATATATTATAGTCCATACCGTATTATTAATACTTGATGGCGAGAAAAAATGGTATAGACATAGGGAATTAACCATAAGGTTATAGGGAATGGCCATTATAGTTACATTCTCAAGACCATAATCACTAATTAAAGGTCCTCATTGGCTATACACTATATTTATCAAGAATATACTCTAGATAAATGTAGTGAGTTTAGTACTCGTTCTTTTCATATATGATAGGTTTAAATTGTGACGATATATTATGTGCATACCATTGATAGGTTATAATGAGTCTCCCTCTCCCTTATTAGTGCATTTTCTTGCGACTATTAAAAATAGGTATGCCTATAGAAAGAGTAATACTCTTTTTGGAAAAGTGAACTAACCTATGTATCTCTCTCCTATTTCATATGTAGTTAAGGTTGAACAACAATTACTCGTATATAATAGTAATTAAGGGAACAACTCGAATCCTACAATATTAACCCTCTAATAGATAATAGCTAATGTATAATTATAGTTGTATGATTAATAGTTATTATTATATTTAGGCAATAGTAGGATTATTCATAACATTACCATATGGCAAAAATCCCTATAAGCCCCCTTTTCATACTATTGGTTGATATTGTTATAAATACTATTGTGCTATTCTCCCATAGAGAAGTGTGGTTAATATTCCATTTAGAATATTGCTAAATCCATAACCTTTAGTTAATATTCGATGATTCCCGATCTCTTATATAATATTTATAACCCTAAGTATTATGCTTTGTCAAAATACTTAGTAGCATTTCTATAACTATTGGCCCACTAAAATAGTTAACCAATAACCCATCCTCCTAATGCGTTTAATATCATTCATGTTGTTCATATTGAGGTTGATATTTCACAGTATACCCTTAATTATGTTGATTAAATCACCCATTGATATGTTTAGCAACCTAACCTATTATTTGTTAAATACTTATGATTCACTCGTTAATAGTTACTATGAATTACCAATAATGTCAGTAGTACCTCTAAATTATTAATAGGGGATCATAAACATCTATTTTATGGCCCGAGATGCCATATAAAAATACATTGGTAGTATTAACCTACCATAGTGGGATACTCTCCCATTTAGTGATGGGAAATTATGGACTCTCTATTAATCTATATTATTCATGTCCCATACTAGGCCTTTCCTATCATATGGTCATTAGGTTATTAGAGCCGATATTCAATTTTGATAATATATTGATATAATCTCTTAATAGGAACAATTACCCTATTATGGATAGACTATCAATATTAAACCACGAAACATATGGTCCTCTTCAATATCCTAGATATTAATAACATGTTATTATGGTAAATACTTCATGTATTTAAAAATTATCTCAATACATTTTAATATCATAGCCCACCATGATATCCAACCAACATTCCTAAAGGGTATATTATACGATTTCAACTCCCGTAATAATAAGAGGGAGTTACATATCAGTATATGGAGTTACATAAATTATAATTGTGAATTATTATCACATATATTCCTATTAACTCCTTATTATAGTCATTCAGGGGTTCCTCCCTAACCTATATAGTAATTGTTGTTTGTTAATGATTCAGCTAGTTATACTCCTAACCAAATAATTCGATCACATTTCCGTATTATGCCAACTAAAAATGGTAATTGTTGATTATTGAAAGATAATAATCATATGAGAGGCCACACAATATAATGGGTAGGATTGATAAGCCTATTCAGGGTTAATCTATATCATATCTATAAATATGCTGAACATGCCTCTAATAAGCCATCTATTTCTTAGATTGATTGGATCTATCAATACATGGACAAATATCTATACCTTCAATAGGCTATTCCCATCCAAGTAGAATAGTAAGAGGTGAACTCACTAGCATATTTATAGATATTTGTTCATGTATATGTTTTTACAAGAGTTACCTCTCCTTGAATTATATTATATAGATTATAAGATTAATAACCAATAACGACGGACACAATTGCTCTTATGTTTGATTAGGATAACTAAGCTATCTCACTTCTAGAAAAAGTACTTATTAGAAGTCATGGGATAGCATCCATTATGAAATAAAACCTATGTGGAGAGCATTTATAGAGGTATATTTTATAATTGACTAACATAATTTGTTCCTAAATCATATAGTCAAATATACTAGTAATGGATTATTATATATAGAGAACATATAAAAAATATTATACCCAAATATGGCCTTATGTTTGAGCATTAAATGGAAAATAGTAATTATTAACTAGTATCTTTATGAGAGAATAGATTGGAGAATATCAATTGGCTATATATTAAAAAAAAATCAATAGAAGACTAGTATAATGAAGTACCGATGATGGATAGGTAATATCCAAAGGGTTACATTATTAATCCATAGTTAACCAAATTTATAGACTTTAACATAACTCTCAAAGGAAATAGGTGATTCTAGGTAATAGGTCTATGATAGAACATGGGCAATAATCTAGGATAATATTGCCTAGATAAACGGCAATATGTTTTTAAAGTAATGTATAAAATCCTCTATTATCGATTACATGTCAATGAGGACCTTATAGCAATACTCTAAATGGAATGGGCCATACCCCATATCTAACCCTAGATGAATTTACTTTGCTTTTATTAGACTGATATGTATGACTAATTCAACCAATATTCACAAAGTATAAATTATATGGTTCTAATAATTTACCTATTAATCATAATATATCTCTATATTATGAGGGATGATACATAACTATAAAATATCACTTCCCTTACATTTGTAATATAACTATATATACTAATGTTATCCAAGTGTTGATAACCAATAGTGAGTACACTTGCTTACCCCGGTATACTTAAGAAATAATCCATAATAATTGTCCGGTGTTCTTGCAAACCAAATCTCACATGATTTCGGCCATTCCTAATAATATTATCCTTAAATAACCTATCAACAATGGAAAATGGTATTTATACTCTCAAACTTGGTCATCCCTTGTTCAAGAACACTAGATACTTATAAAATATATAATTTACCAATTAGACAATTACTAAATATAAACGGATTGGTAGAAGATTAGGTGTACTAAGGCAAACAAACTCGGTTATACATTATTGTCATTGAGTACCCTTGCAATCTAACTTGATACATTCTCTCCTATATTTAAAATGTCGGCCACTCGAATCATAATCTATTCACCACAGATGATATAAGGAGCTTAAGTATTTTAACCTTAGGATCCTTATAATACTCCGAGGGATTATATCTCTATTAGTATATAGTTTAATATAGGTTTTCCTATATTAAAGTATCATAATATTCCACTCATCATATTAGATACCCTTCTCATCTAGGTAGATAACTAGATGTTAACCCTCAATAATATCAGCCTCCTTACTATTGTATATAGGTGATGACCTTTATAATTACCTAAAATGTTATGGCTACCATTTAAAGTCGTGGGGGTTTGCTGACCCATAATATCGACCTCCTTAATTTGGATAAAATAGTTATCACGTTGGACACTTATCAATTACACCAATAGTTAATTTTAAATATTTTCCAAACTTTCCCATTGAGTTACGATCATATAAATCAAGTTATATCTTCAACTTGTATAATCTTGATCATCCTATAACAACTATTGTTGTGGATACCTATTAAGTCTCTCCCCTAATACCTACTATCCCCCAAGTACACGTTTCACTATTGAAGAATTACCTATCTAAAGAGGGAGTACGATTTCCTTATATAACATATTAATCCTATTACATATATAATTTGGGTATAGCTACCCTTGATTAACCTCTATTAATAGTCATGGTCATCTAATTAAACGAGCTTATTAACATAATAGTATGTGAGGTAATTGTTCTCCATTTATAGTATGGAATGCCAATTGTTCCATGATTACTCCAATTTACCATATGTATTATAATTCACTTATATTCCTCTAAGAGATGTATTTTATAGATCCCCATTTTAATAAGGGTTGCGTGTAATACCATTGGGAGAATATCAATGTGATCTCTAATATGTATGATCACCTAATATATCCCTAGGATGGTAATAGATTAGCCATGTATTTATAATAGGCTCCTATTATGTTCCACTCAAGTTTATTCCAACAATGTCAATAAGACCAATGGAGGCCTAACCTTTGGTCACCTCATAAATAATATGGTATATTATTAATGGTTTAATTAGCTATTATTAATAGTACTATATTGTGAGTACATTAAAATAGTTGATATTATTGGTCCATACTTGATCCCTACCATGAGTGATCATACTATTTAACCGTATATTTATATTATAGCCTCTATTAGGATTTATATGGAGGATGTTTATATGGGAAAACTCTATCCAAGTGATAATATACCTATCCGTTTATTAGATAATAATGTCATATTATGATATTTTTAACAATATCTATATTATAAGAATATTATCATATACGAAGATAAGGAACCAATTTAAGGTTAGAAGACACTCCAATATAGGACTCATTATAACTATCAATCATAATTATTACTAATAATCAATGGATATTAGGTCCCATGAATGAGATGGTAAGCGTGATAGTGGCCATTCTAATGGATAAATTGATGCCTAGTAATCTTTTCTCGTATAACCCCTATTGGGGAAACAAGGTTAGAGTATATCAGCCCAAGATAGTCACCAAAATAGCTATAATTATGCCATATATCCCATGCAAATATCTTTTATACGGATGTGAATTATAATCCATAATAGTTGGCATATGGTTATTATAATTGTATGGGCCGTCATCCTTACTTTATTTTGGTGATTAACAAACAACGATCTATTATATGCCATGCTTTGATATATTAACCCTCCAAGTGCACAATTCATATATTGGTTATATATATATATATATATATATATATATATTACGGGAATGATATATTCTCACCCGATTTATAATAGTACAAACACATACATAGAGCAACATGAGTAGTTCAAATCCATTACTTAAGATATTCAGTCCAAGAATAGGTATTGATTCTTTTTTAAGATGGAGGGAGAATAATATAAGATTTAAATGTTATAAAAGATGATTATTTATAATATATGATCATTAAGCCCTACTTTGTTTCAACTTAGTGGAACTATTATTAATGGGGAGTTAACCATAGGCACTTCTATATAAAATCCTCTAGGCCACCTATGATAGTTTATTAATATTGGTATTATCAAAATTATCTTGGTCTATATAAATCCCTAACTTATATATTGGGCCATCTCTCCGGCTTGTATGGTGAATGTTCGGGAAGACACCAATCTTGCCCCATCTTAGAGAGACATTCTAATAGTTAATACCTAATCAACAAAGCATAATACCTATTCTATAATATCAATGGCGATAGAATGTATTTCCCCAAGAATGTCTCTATTTAACTCATCCAAGTATAATAGACTAATGGGCTCTCTTCGAGTGTTGGTAATACGAGCTATTCATAGTTTCCCAAACAAGTCAAATCTATAATATACATATATATCAAAATACTAATTCACCTAATGTGATAGATATGATAGTTAACCCTTTAATTTTAAGAACCGTAGTTGGTGTCTAATATTCATTTAGATACCTTTTTTGAAAAGGTGATTTTTTTAATAGATATTGGAAATGGGCTATTTATTCTATATTCTCTTTCTAATGTGGAATATTATTTTCTAAGTATTGGGGAAGATATAAATCATGAGTCATTTTAACTAGATTATTATATGATTCACATATTCTAAATATTGAACCTTATGTCCGACTAATCCAAAAATATAAGATAATATAGGGACATAATTGGAATATGTAATAAGTTGACAAGTCATTATATACCCGAGGGCCTATAAATTACGATATAGTAACCTATCAATATTTTGAAATTAATATTTTATAATTGCTAATAGATCTAACTTTTTGAGATGTATTTATCAAATTAGAATAATCGGTCTATGATAGAACATGGGCAAAGTATTTATAAGCTCGGAGTTTGAACATTACCTTAGATAAGAGGAACCACATCCTTCTTTATCATTTAGTCGGGCATATGGGTCTACCTCCCACACAATGTCTAAATAAGTTGGGGCAAATTTAGAGATCCTCTTGACATATTACTATGTCCGATAATTAGGGTAGTTATCTAAAATCATTTGGTAGATATAATTCCTCAATTATAGGACCTCCAATTACGATATTGTAATTTAAATACAAGCTATTAGTATTCCTTATAGTTTATATTAGTTAAACTATTATCTACTTAATAGCCATGAACTATCTTTTATGTCTATATGGTAATATCAACTCTATAGATATATAGGATTACCAATATAGGTATTCATCCATAAATTAAAGTCGTAATTTAATCAAATATTGAAAGAGCAACATTTCTAATGTCTCGTGTATTAAAATGTGAACAACCACGGGATATAATAGTATGAGGAGAGGGAGAAGGAGATGCAGAAAGTAGGATATTCCGTCTAATTTATAACCCTTACGAGAGTCAATAGTATACCCTAGTATGATGGGAAAACCAATAAAAGGGGTCCCATAGGTCCATAACTCTCTCCTTATCTAATATATATAAACATCAGTCTTGAAAAAGATGCTCCAACGTGTAATATTTCCCATTAGATTGTGCACTTTGATCTATAGTAATAACCCTTGTACATACATATTCTAGGTTATGAGATAAACCTCATAATGAGGATATCTATTATAATAGTATAATGATAGGCCTATAGAGGACATTCTGTCACTTAATTCTATATCAAGTGCTAATAGGGTTAACAAGCGTGTCTCTCGTTATGTTTAAACTAGCAATCCCGAAATTTTATATTAGAATTTTTCCTCTCCCTAGCTATCCACTATTGATTCACTATCTCCGCTATAATTGAGTTATCAATACAGAATATTCCATTATAAGGTAAAATACCCTTATAGAGTAAGAATATCTAAGATAATCTTACAATAATTGGTTATCATTAATTAATAACGTCACCTCACTCTTCTATAGAGATAATAAATTTGTAGAACAAATAGGCCACTATTGATACTTTCTATATATTATAAAAGAAGCGAGTTAAATTAATACCCTTGACATGAATTACCTTACTTAGATAATTAATAACCTACGTAATTTTGATAATCTTTGCCTCTTTTCATGATCAACGTTTAAGGTATTTGCTATAGGGAGATGGAACATAATTGGCAAATCTTATTTGTAATAGGGGCAAGTTCACCATTATAAACCAAATAAGAGTGGTATTGATGTTTTAGACGATAAGTATAAAATATAGAATCGAGTAAATTCACGTTGTACATACTATTAGGATAAAATTCATATCTTTCCTTAATTATATTGGACTACTCTTATTAAGGCCTTTTCTAAGTTAGAGTATACCATATAAATAGGTAATAATTATAGAACATCCGTTGCGTGCTCTCCTAGAGCACTCAATCTATTAAGTTGATACACCCCTCCTATATATGTATCCATTTAGTAATTTACACTACCTATCCGATAGGTTATTATCTTATACTATATTATCTTATACTAGAATTATAACATCCTTATCATAATCTTGAGTAAAGGATAAGTTATTAAGATAGAATGGACCATTATTGTCACAATTTCTATTTACCAACCTTTACCTTGAGTAGGAGTTGATATTTTAATGGTTAACTTTATTATGGTGATATAATAAAGGTCATTACCCTTGTAAACTACCATCTTTCAATAAGCATACATTAATGGGGCAATCTAGGATGACTGGCAATTGATAGTCTCGACTTATATCATAGCCTACTATGGCCCCTAATTATAATCTCTCAATGGGTGTTTTTTTATATCCCTCTATATTGAAATATGGAATAATAATCAAATTTGGTTCATTAATCTATAAGAGGCCTTAAAATACTATTATACACTATTAACAACATTAAGTTTGATATTTTCTCGATTAGTTTTAGGGTTAGTTGACTAATAGCCCTAAATGGAATTTAGGGACCATGTTGAAAATGATAGCTATATTGAAAATGAGGCAACCTATTAAACATAGGTAACAAACCCCTATTAAAGCTAGTTATAAGATATCATAAGCTTATGGACTTGTTATCTCGTTAAGTAGGAAAATAATTAGGGGGCTACATGGTCAAAGTATCTATAGCCTAGAGTATGAACATTACCTTAGATAAGAGGACCTCCTATTAAATTCCATCAATTAATATACTACATTTGGTGCAATTTGCTAAGGGATAAGTTTACCTAACATTTGAGCTTGCTATTTGGCCTAACTCAAATAGCTCCTCTTCAATAATATCCCTAAATAACCTTATAATGCTTATTCTGGACATATATTATCTATCCCTTTTATTATGACTACATGTGTTATCACAATCATATAGACAAGTGGGAATAACCCTAGTTAGGCAACATGGGCACTAACATGGTAAATATTTTTGAATTAGGTAAACTTGAGGGTATCCTTATACATTTTTAAGGGGTTTATGGCCATCTTGATACTCATCAATATTATGAACAACTCGTAGCATTTATGGTATTAACATTTTGAGAGTAGATTATTCAGATTAAATTGGACTCCCATAGAAAGTACATTTATATGATAAGGGCACCCATAATAGAGTAATAGATATATCATATAATGGGTACCTAAGTAGCATGTTGATATATCCGCACTCGTTTATCTCCCTCTCTTTCTCTCTTGTGTCCCCATGAAAGTACCTCTTTGATCATAGGTGGTCAATAATAATGTCATGTTAATATCTTGACATTGGTATGATAAGACATGATGCAATTATGTCAATTATGTGTGAACCCAATAATATATCATAATTAATAGAGACAACCTTATCCTCCATATTTGGTTTACTTTAGGTCCCCTACTAAGATAAATGATCATATTCTATGCGTTGTCACCCGAATATAGTATGCCCCATTGACTTAAATAATTTCACACCTCCATATAGAAAGGGATAAATATTTATGGGCTTGTGGGTAAACCAATATGAGGTTTGCCTCTATTAATTAGGATATATTATTGGGTTTACACACAATTGACATAATTATATCATGTTTAATCATACCAATGACAAGATATTAACACGATATTATTATCGGCCACCTACGCTCAAAGAGATACTAACTCCGAAGTGGACTAGAATTTTGAGATTAACCTATGCATGGTGCCAAGTGTATGCGATGACGTGGTAACATCATTGTACCCCCTTATTAGGGTATGATCAAATACTTATTGGAGAGGGGGATAGTCCTTATACACGAGATAATATCTTACGGTATATACAATGGAATTGTAATAGGACTCACTAATAATTAAAGACCTCATATCTCACATTGTATAATGGTACATATGGAGTATATCAGGTTGCCTTAACTATAGAGGTATTTAGTGCATCTTTAGATATTAATTTGAAGGGGGAATGATAGGGACGTTAGGCCATATCACGCGGATTGATGTCAATTTTTCCACATAGTTGGCGTGTTAAATATTAGCCATGTCAAGATTATAGGAAACTCATTTAATAACACATATGGGATGCGTTATTAACCCTCATTTTGCTCAATATTAGGAATGTAAATAATATTTTAGGTCATTCTTTTATGATATTAGTCACTTTCTCTTTATGTAGAGCACCAAAAATGACCTAATTTTAATTAAGTGGTATTATGATTGATTACCTCCCTCTAACCAATAGACTTTTAAGCATTTTTCTAATGCATGGTTGGCCTATATAAAGAGAAAGTGAGGCCATGGCTTAATTCTTTTGGCCGTTTGAAAATTCTACAAGAGAAAAGGGAGAGTTGCTTGGTGATAGGATCATATTTACCCAATCCCTATTTCTATTTCACCTTAGTCAAATACGGGACCAATAACTTCTAAAATTATGATTAAACTTATAGATCATACAATTTTCAAAGATACCAATAGTTTACCCAACTATAGAGGCTATTAAACTAGGATGTGCCTTTTATAAGGGCATGGAAACTAAAATGACCTAAAGAAAAACAAGAAAATATATTAGTGTTTGTCTTTATCTTTCTATGAATTGTGGTGATAATCCACTCAATACTTATTAGAATAGGATAATTGAAATTACAAGCTCATAAATCTGTTCTTAGACATCGGATAGTGAGGGGATAACCTTTATAATTATAGACAATCCTATTTAACTTAATCTTGGCTATAAATTATAAGAATAGGTATATTAGCTGAACGGATACTCGCTTATATGGTATACTAAATCTCTAAGTTTGATGTGAATAGAAACATTAGAATAGAAACATTTCAAATATGATATACTAAATCTCTAAGTTTGATGTGAATACTAGGGAATATTAGGGATATTTTCATCCTCTCAAGTGCATTTGTACAGATAGTATTACTAATAATACTAACGGATACTCGCTTATATAACCAAAATCCTCCATATGATTACACTATCTAATGTCTCGTAATTGTTTACCGACAATTAATTAATATTTTTCCTTCATGCATTAACCACATTCTATTAGTTATTAGTGCTCGATATTAGTATTCCCCTTTAGGACATGGAATATGATGGAATTAATCTAATATACTATGATAATCCCTTACATAACTAAAATGTAATCGTCTATTATTTAAGTTTGAGGGTAGTTAACGAGGGTCAACTCCATGAAATGAGGGAGACGATGTCCATAATATCGTTCGGTGCTTATGATATTAACCCTAGGGAAAAATATATATACTTTTAGATTCTCTCTAATAATAGGGAACATAAATTTAATAGGTTGTGAGACTAGGGTTAATCCATCGAGTCATGACCATATAGGTGTATATATGCAAGGAATTATAATACTCATGAGGATCCAATATAGGTTATTGAGGATATCATTAATTACGTCTAACGTTGCCTCGCCAATATATAGGTTTTTCATTAAGGATATGTTTTACTTGATATGTGCATCAATATAATTAACTCATAAGGAGATATCTTATTTATAAAATTAGGTTGATGATGGTGAGCAGTTTAATGGTGGGCTACCCCGTCAATTATAATCTACCAAACCCTTATAAGTTTTTCATATTAGTACCGTTTAGCTCCAATGGGTACTCCTATTTTAACTTTCAAACCCCATTGTTTAGAGAGATTTATTTCCCCCTCTCTATCTAAATAGGAGTTTATCATTAGCCATATCATTATATCATTGTAATACCATAGACGAAAGTATAAAAATATCTTTCCTATCATACAACTAACCGTAGGCTCTCTCACTCTATCTTCATATAGAGAGCCCCTCTTCTCTCCCATATTTCCTTAAAGGTAATATCTTTCCTTTTGATCTATATTTATGCCAAATCTATTTTGATCTCCTATCTTGGGTTATATAGAACTATATTATATCCTATCATGTCTAGGTACATTCTATTTACCATTAGATAGGAATGGCTACCTATAGTGACAACCATAGGGAGAGGTTAGAATAAGGATTAATTTATAGCCCACGATAGAGGAGTGGGAGATAACCATAGATTATATCCCTCCTTTACTCATATGGGACTATTCTCTCAAATGACCTCCTCATACCGAACAATCTCTCTAATATAAACTAAGTATATTTTTCTCTATGACTCCTTAACCTCCATGGGCCTCCATTATAATTGTATTATTATATTCATGATGCCTATATCCCTTTTATTAAGTGGTCTCTCTTAATGATGTTCACCATAGTTAGGCAATAAGTTAATAGAAGGTAAAGTATAGAAAGCGAAGGTATCTAAAATGTTATAAAGCCTTACTAAATGTCTATCAAATGATCAATTTAGGGGATGGCTTGGATCACTTTCAAATATAATAAATAGACTCGTATAAGATAGATTGTTCAAAAATTGGGTAATATCATTCAGTAAGGCTATTAAAACCCTTATATCTATATTTTAGCATAATATTATCCCTATATGAGAGACCTTTCTTGATGGTTTTGATCCCACCATGATGAGAGCAATTTACATAACATATTATAAGATAATATTATCCCTATTTATATAGAGATAATATTCTAGCAAGTCATGTTCTACTATGTTTTTTTTTATTTTCGAGGATGATGATATTCTCTTATCATTACCCAAGGAATATTAATGATTTAGAGGGTATCAAACTCTATGACTAAAAATTTTAGGGATAATTCTTCCTATCGATTTTTGGAATAATATTTCTTCGATTAATTATACCAAGGAAGCATCCTCCAAAAAATAAGGGTTCCCCCAGCATGAAGGAGACATATATTATCTTCACCTATTATTGTGATACTCCCCGAACAGGAAGAATTATCCCATGAAAATTATCACTTTTGGAACCTAAATACATCGAGTTGAAATAAGATGGCCAAATTATATGGTAACCATGCTTTCATCTATATCGAGATAGTTAATTTAATTGCCTTGATCATTAAACTATAAGAAAGGTTAAGTCTCTAATTGCTAATAATATTATTTTTACAAGATATATTGGTTATAGTTTAATCTTCACCTATTGAACATATGGCCCTTAGTTATAAATGACCCTTTTTATCCCTCCCAATATATACGGAGGTGATAATTATCTCATATTTTCAAGGGATTGTTCAACTATACCCCTTGAGGATATTAACCTCTCCCTATGGTAACCTAAAGTATTTATTCTTAAATGGACTCCTCTCTTTTATTTTGAGGGTTTAATTTAGGCCTCGTTTGGATATTAAATATCAAACTTTGGTCTCTCTCTCCAATTGTAAGAATTAGGGAGATAACCAGGTGGAGAGATGGGAATATAGTTTAGTTGACAATTGAAAACAAATATCAATGTATCTAGATTTGTGATTTATTTGACAAATTAAGGAGAAGTTTGGTGCTTTCTAAGATTAATAATATTACATAGTATATTTACTAAGTCGTCAATATCTTATTTTATTTCACTCTGTTTGATTGAGTCATCCGAAAATTACTCATTATGAGAGAGGTAGGGAAAGAGGGTACACACACTTGGAATTACACCACGTTGATGGGAGAGAAGACTTGTAAGCATTTAGAGGAATAATATTATCCCTATCCTATTAATAAGGTAAGGATTAGTAGTGTTATACTATTCTACTAAAGAATACAGGAAGAGAGAGAGAGGGATAATTCTATATAATTGTCAATATTATGCTCCATTATAATGAAGTGATTGGGGGATAATGAATAACTAGATGGTGCATAACACAATAAAATCATATAGAGTTTGAAGTTGACCAAGAATTAGGTTTATAATTAAAGACTAAATAGAGGCCAATGAATGTACATCCTTATATGAACTAACGCCTCCCTTTTTAATGAACACCATAGATAATCTCCCTCTCTCCCTCTCTCTTAATGAATTAATCTCCCATCTTGTTGGGTAAGATGATTAATGGAGGAGAGACTTATATAGATTTTATAATATCATTTTTTTATATGGCTAATGATAAAGATATCCTTTGTCCTTAATTGTTGAGGATAATAGTAGAACGACTTATAGAGGAGTATGAATATCCTCATATATGTTGCCTCTATGATAGGAGGGGATTAATTCATTATGAGAGATGGAGGGATGGTGAGTGTTCATTCTTGACATTTGGGAATAATTAAGTAATTACGGCGTGGTCTCTTTTACACCTTTTAAAAGGGAACTCCTTATTCTCTGCTATAGTTATTGTATATGGACTTTCACATGTAGTAAATCCCTACATTCCAATTAATTATGGTCGAATGTATGTAGTGTAGGTAAGAGGTTGTTCTCTCGGAGGGAGGGAGGGAAATAGAATTTACAACACTAAAAACCCCTATAGATTCTAGGCATGATCCCATATATTAGTAATATTGACCATCACTCCCTTTCCCCCTCTCTCCCACCATCTCTTTGATAATATTTAGTAAAAAAATATTTAATTGATAATACAAATTTATCCTTAAGCACACTATTGATGGAATATTGCATAGGTTGATCTACCCATTATCCCTCCTAACATAAAAATCACCTATACATTTTTTGTCTTTGGAATTTATAAGCACAACCTCAAATTTTATATGACTAATAATTGTGATTTATGGAATTGATTTCAAAGGTTTGGTTAAGACTATTGTCTCGTTCAAATATTAGTCATATAAAAGGCCTATATTATTCCCTCTCTCCCTCTTAGTATGCTATTGGTAAAAGGTATAGTGTATTACCTAGCCTTTTAATACTATCCAATATATTTACTATCAAGACATATCATATATTATTGTATATGATGTCTTGATATACAATTAAATATCTTTTCTAAATTCAAAATGGAGAGGCCATGTTATAACCATTAGGAATCAACAATTAAAAAGTTATAAAACATGGTATTATATATAGTAATCGTCTTTTAATTATAAGGGGAGATAGATTAAGTAGAGGAAATAGAATTATTTTCAGATATTAGTATAACATCTATTATACACTATGTTATGTCGTGATTATGGATACGATCCAATAATAAACTCCCTTGTTAGCTTTAGATTAGTTAATGGAATTACACAATAATAGAGAGCATGCCTATTAATTCATATATTGATTATATATCACTTGTAATGGACATTATGAGTAGTAAAAGGATAGAGGACCTCTCCATCTCCACTATCATTATCTCTCCATCCTAACATCAATTCCCTTGATTTTGAGAACCAAAATCCAAAATATTTTACTATGCTTTTAATATTGTTAAAGGTCCGTATAATGTTAATAATATGATAGATATCTATTATCACTCAACTATTAATGATTTGAGAGATAATGATTTATAATATAGAACTAAATATGGACCTTTAACATATACCTATTAGGGGATATATTGATAGGATATTAACCTATAATAGTTCCCTGAAAAGGAATGATTGGGCCATTGAACTTATAATACTCCTCTATTTCCACATAATAGAGTAGTATGGACCAAGTTCAATGGTCTAATGATTGGGCCATTGAACTATAGACCTATTATAAGAGACCATATTATAGGTAAATTGGTAATGTGATTAGGATTGGGACAACTTATTAAGGAAATGGCATGGAATCAATATGATGAGTTAACATTCTAATAGAATTAGAAGGAGGGAACTAATTAGTTATAGTTGTGTCAATACTAGTGAAAGGGTATTGCGAGCAAGAAATAGATATATTAGCGGAGATGGTATAATAATTATTTTATCTAATTGTGCAAGGACTATTATGGCAAAATATTTTCCCTCTCTATTAGAGTATATCACTTATGGTGAATTACCATTACCAATAATGACAATGAGGGTCCTTCTATAAGGTCATCCGAATGCTCTTGCTCGCTAGCATTGATTTTCCTATGATAGGGACCATACGATGAGAATATAGCTTATAATAGTAATTACCATATATAGGGGTTACTCATGACATATATTACATGAGAATGGAGAGGTAGGCTACTACAAGCATTCTAAAAACCTCAAAATTAGAGTGGTGCTTAGATTGAAATAAGGGAAGAGTTTTTATTAAAGGAGTCCTATCTAATGAACGAATGTCTTGGTTAATAAAGGTATCCATTCCAACGGGCTTCCAATTCTGGTCATGAGATAGGGCATTGTAATCAATTATCAAAATGTAGATAACCATAGTGATATCATGGAGTCAAAACCATACTCGCCTATCTCTCTTTCTCTATCCACTCTCTCTCTCCCCCTTTCATCCACTCATTTACCTCCCTCCTCTCTCTCTATCACTCTAAGATGGTATCCTCGTGCCTATCTTATATACAATAGGGAGAATAGTATTAATCGAGAGAATGGAGGAAATATATTTTTGGTAAGATAATTAATTCAAAGTTGAGGGACTCTCAATTTGCTATAATTATTAGATAGGTTCCATTACAAGAGGATTATAATTTCATACTCCTAGTTTACATAGTCATATTAGAAGAGGGAGAGGGAGAAGGAGAGGGACACCAAAAGAGGGAGAGGAGAGGGACCAATTGGCCACCTTTGGGTTATATTGGGGAGATAGGTATAAGGAGAGAGGGAGGGAGAGAGTAAGAGATAAATAGAGAGATTATCAAGAAATATTATAATTATTATATATTGTATTTATTATATTTATCTAGATACCAATTGTTTATTGAATAATATTTATCAATCACGTTGGAAGAGAGATGGGTATGAGTGTAGCAAGTCATGATGAGAAAACCAATAGAATGACATTTCCATCATAAGATTAATTTACTTGGAAGTATGGATTTCAATACTTAGCTAGCAATAGATTAACCAAAATAATCATGAGATGGTATTCATCCTAACAAATTAAATGAGAATGTCAGGAATATATCCATGACTTAAATCCCATAAGTCATATCAAGAGAATTTTAGAAAATAATCGAGCAATTCCAACATGACAAATTGGTAACACTATGATAGTTTAAATTACGCTTGCATTAATATTAGTGCAGGAGGGATTAAATAGAGCCACTAACTATTAAAGTGAGTTAATTTAGGTTAACCACTTCTAGGGATAATGGTCTATATTATCTCTCCTTCCTCTCTTTACGTAATTGCTTTGAGAAATGGCCTAAACTTGGGATTATATTGTCGGGTGATTCCTCTCTCTCTCACTCTCTAGGCGTAACTCTACTGGATATGTATGGTTTAGTTCGAGTTAATAGTAAAAGGGATCTATTAAGGTTAATGCTCTCCAATTAGAGAGGGTTCAATTAGTGAGGATTATACTTATATTATTTATTGAATAATCTAGAAATAATCAATAATAATAATTTTTAAATACTTTTAGGTATTGAATAATATTTTTTAGCATTTTATAATTATATATTATAATATATATAATTTATATTAACAATATAATATCTCCCTCCCTAATTCAAGTAATAGAAAGTCCAAAGGTGTCGAAAACTAAGGAGAATAAATACTTTTCCAATTATATAGAGATGGAGACATCACCAAATTACTTGAATTAGGATATTAACCTCTCCCTATGGTAACCTAAAGTATAAATTTGGTGGAGAGATAATAAGGTTATGGAGTTTGATACCCACGTAATAGTAATGGTCTATTTTGAATATACCATCAATATAATATGAAAGTATTTATTCACCAAGTACAAAAAAAGAGGTTAACGAGAGATATTTTCTCATTTATTGCAGCATAGGCCCTTCTCTCCCTCCCTACTAAATTTAATTATGTTGTTCTGCTATATAAGTTAGTACATGCCAACTTGGAAGTAATAGATATATACTTTAAAAGGTTAATTATTTGACTTTTCCGTGTGTGAATAATGCTTATCCTTGGGAGGAGAAAGTCGAAGTAGGATGAATAATCAAAAGAAATATTAAAACCCCTAGAGAATCTTAAGGAGAGATAGATAAATAGGTTCATATTAGTCCATCATTATATAGGGAGGGTTTCCAATCTAAACCCATGGAAATTCGACTAAGGATTTGATAGTGATATTATACAAGTTTGGTAATTTACTTTAACATAACCCCTCTCTCATGAGACCATCTATCATTTATACTCAATTACTATAAATTGTCTCACCATATGGCTGGCTAATTTAAATATCAATGTGATTCATCATATTTGACTTTAATTAACAACCTATCTATATATATCATATATATATATATATGGAGTCTAAATGAGAGTCATGAGAGATGAGTCATTTATATTAATTTTAAAAGGTTTACCTTCATAAATATATTGGAGAGAAAGATGAGATTTGATAGGTTATATTTAATAAAAATGACCCACGTTGATCAAGTAAAAATTAATACCATAAATTGGTGTCCTCTTAATAGGGAGGGAGAGAGGGAGAATGATCGGGAGATGGGAGGCTTATTCCAATTGGAGGATAATATAGTTTAGTTCGATTTACTAGTAAAAGGGATCTATTAAGTTTAATGCCCTCCAATTGGAGAGGGTTCAAGTAGTGAGGAGTATACCTATATTATTTATTGAATAATTTGAACATAATCAATAATAATAATTTTAAATACGTCGTGGTATTGAATAATATTGTTTTGTATTTTATAATTATATCTTATAATATATATAATTTATATTAACAATATAATCTCTCCCTCCCTAATTCAAGTAATAGAAAGTGCAAAGGTATAGAACTAAGGGGAATAAATACTTTGCCAATCATATAGAGATGGAGAAATCACCAAATTACTTGAATTAGGATAATAACCTCTCCCCATGTAACCTCTATTAGCTCTATCACTCCCTTAGTTTGGGCACTACAAATCCTTATTCTATCATTGCGTACTCAAAGAAATATGAGCTATTTTAATAACTTGAAGTCAACCTAGTTAGGGATAAACTATATGGTCAATTGATTATGCTTTCGTGGAACAAATTAATAGGGAGAAGTGCATCTTCAATAGTTATTGTCGTGGGTGAATAATAGGAGGTTTACACTATAATTGAGGCTTATGAACCTCTCGGCATGGAATTTGAGAGAAAAAAAGAGAGAAAAGTGTATTTTCCTACTATCTCCCTTTGATAAGGATAACTCGATGAGTGTCAATTAACACAATAATAGGGTTTGAAAGGACAATAATTTACCAACGTGATTGATTATCCAGCATAGAGGTAATTACTGAAATAAGGGTAAGGATGATGACTTATTCTCGTGATTAATTTCACACAATCTTTTCACGTAATAATATATACACCATTATCCTTCTCCTTTTCGTTGAGGACCAAGGATCTAGTTTGATGCCCTCATATGTGTTAGGGAGGAATATATATATACTGTTATACATGCCAATATTAGGAATTCATAATCCAATTATGAAGGCCAAATATTAAGTTTGTAATTTTACCTACACGATACAAGAGTAACTTTTCTTATATTTATTAACTCCTGGCATCGAACTAGGTCCAAGAAATCTCTAATAATATATCGAATTATTATCCTAAAAATATTATTAAGTTTCAACTAATATTACCATATTTGGGCCACAAGGGTCATAAACAACTAGGAAGATTAGTATGCATTGATAGATGGAGAGCATCGTGTCTAATTTAGATGGTATTTTAATAGAGTGAATATTGGTTATAGTATCTTATGTGGCATATTGGTTAGCTTAATAACTAACTAGCTCAACCTCTAGACCCTCTTAAATATACGAGAAATTAGCAAATACCTTAAACCAGCTTATACTCTCCCTATAATAATTTCTCTATGTAAAAAGATCATTAAGGTAATGTATTAAGGCAATAGCTCTCTCTCTCTATTGATTAGATTATAGTGAATATCTTTGATGTCCCATTAAGACCCTGCATCACATATAATAATTACATGTCAATCCCGAATGACATTTCCAGAAGGGTTATTATGGGAATTAACCATATCATGGTCAAACAATAATGAACAGATTTAAATATAGACTACTAACTTATTCACTATAATCTATGTGTTGAACGAATAAGTTAGATCAACGTATTGTTTGTGAGGGATTATAGACAAATTAGTAAAAAGATACTAGAATATCCATGTACCATCTTTACATAACCATCCATCTCTTGGTTTATAATATGAGCGTGGTAATATAGGGAGGTAATATGAGGTACTATAAAATAATGTCTTATTCTTTTTCTATTAGATGATATATTGTAAACCAAGACATTTATAATGGATATTCCCATGGCACTATTTATAAAAGAACGGAGGGTTGTCCTCTCCAAGGAGACATTGAAAGCCGAGAGGATACCTCCATAAATACCATGCATTAGAAATACGTCGGGGTCTTAAATATCTTCAATAGCCACATGTGGAAAGGAATCATGAAGTCTTATATTAAGGGATTAGACATCACATATAAATTTTTCCCTATGGGTTCCGAGTATTCATCATATCCGGAAAGGGAGGATGAGAGGGAGAGAGAGAAAGGGAGAAGAAGAGAGGGGAGAATGGGAGAGAGAGTGGGAAAAAATATCATTTAAGTCCTCAAAATAATAAGCCCACCAATTAGGACTTATTCGATCGTACCTTAATAGATAGAATATTCTTACACCGTTCCTCTTTATTGGCCTATTAAAAGCTTGTATCATAAGACTTACTAGGCATGGTAGACCCCGTATGAGCTAATATATAAAAGGCAAATAATAAGACCAGTAATAATGTCTGATTTGGAATATTAAGAGGGGTCTCTAAACGTTGACCTCACAATTTCATGGAGAAGGCCATAATTTTTCTATTAATATTTAATAAGTACATTGATCGGGTGATTTAACCTATTTGACAAACTCTCTTGAGGAAAATTTAATTATACTACTTATTAAATTATTTACATGTCTTAACACTAATAATAGTCTAACCATTATCTTATACAAGGACAATTATCCTTCTCTAACTCAATAGTCTAATTCCCTAATTGGATCAAAATAAGTAGTACATTCCAATATAAGGATAAACCAATAAATTATTAACTATTAATCACATTGGTGGGACTATTTTAAGGCTCTCTATTAGCTGACTTGGTGTATCTCCCTCTCCAATTATATCATCAAAATTATTATAGTGGCTTATTTCTTTAAATATATTGTGATCTTATAGAGGGCTAACATCTTATATTATCCTAAGCTAAAATTAGTTGGTTTCCCTCTCATATATCAACTTTCTCCCCCTTTCCTCTAATCTAGGTTATCTAATATTATCTCTCTTTGATAGGATAAATACTATTTGTCATATAAGTATAAGGGCTATCTCATTCTCTTTGGATGGTTGAAGTGGTCGAGGGTTGAGGATTTCTCTCCCTTTTTTATAGTCCCCATTGGTTAATCTACCATGACCCAATTTATGAATATAAATTTCTAATAGTTTATTATATAGGTATATTAGGTTGGGGATACCTAATATAAGATATGAGTAGTGATGCTTATCCTAGTAATTAGTACACGAGGACACAATTTAATAGAATATTCTTATAGTAATCATATAATGAATAATCCTTATAAATGAATAGCATTGGGGCCTATATAGACTTTTAAGAATTTAGTTAAATAGGGATAATCACTTTCCCTTGAAATCATGATAGGAGTCATATGATTTATAGCTTCTCTCTATATAATCATTAGTTTTCTAATATATATATATATCATCTTGTTAATATCCCATGATGGAAGGTGACATATAATCCGCTTTTAAGTTATAATTTTACATATCATTTCTAACTCAATAAAGATTTAATGTTCTTAAGTATCGCCAACCTATATAGTACCCTACAAGTAGGCATCAAATCCTCGATTAGTAAAATTACAACTCATATATTACACAATCTTGGTTATTTAGTGTTGATTATAATTAATAAAGATGATACTAGGTATCTAGGCTTTTATTGGTCTCTCACCCTTAACATAAACGGCTTATAATCACCTACATAGGTAATATATCGAGGGTCTCTCCCTCTTTTGCAGTAACCTATTATCGATCAAATAAAACATATAAAACTAATATTATCTAATTAATATTTAGGAGACACCCTTAATCATCACCCACTATCAACTTGTTATAATGACACTTAAAATTAGGTCTGCATCATCAACCTTATTGAATTTCTTTGTTATTAATAGTAAGAGAGAGACTATTTTAAATGATACAAGGATTGAAACATCAAAAATAGATACGAGTTTATATCCTCCTATAATTATTAGATAATGCCCAATTTTAGTGGTTATAGTAACCCCTAAAATATGGTAAAATATAGGACTAATCATAGTCTCTTAATCCCAATACCTTCTAGGTCATATAAAATTCCTTGTGAAGTAAGCATGTTTAAAGGGTGAATCTCATGCAAAGGGCATTTTACTAATCTGCTATAGGATAGTGAATTGATTAGTGTGGGCCAAAATAAAGATACTCATTTTTAGGCTACATTAGGATAGATTGGTATAGTGCTTCTATACCAATCCGAGTAATAGGGAGGATAATATCCCCTCTCTCTATAGTTAATAGGACTCTAAATATATTATGTGAATTAGAGATTATTGCCTAGCTTACTCATATAGTCCGCATTAATAACTGTCAACTTAATCAATATGGTTAGAAATTATTTATTTTAATATTATGAACTATATTAATATCGGGGTGGCGATATAAAATAATCATTGGTTTATAGTAAAGGTTGACCAATAATCACAATATATTGCCAATGTTAAATAATTAGCTCATTTGATCTTAGTTGGTAGACTTAATGCATCAATTCCAAATCCTTATTCTTATCCAGTTGTAAGAATTGGCTATCATATGAATAGGGAACATAGGGGGATGATAACCCAATTAACTATCGTGACAGGACTTAGTTAATGGTTCTCCAATATTTGATCGTTATTATCTAACCATTATAAGTTAATCATTTCTGCTTGTAGCTTATCATCCCCTCTCTTTATTTATTAGAGGACCTCTAATAGGTGGCCTAAGATTATTCCCTCTAGTTCCTATTATCTCATATCTAAAGGATCGGATATGCCCCTAGAGAGTGGTAATCGACCATGCTATCATTGGATTATTTATAAACCTGGCCCTCTCTCTAGTTTGTTATTAGTTTAACTCCAAATAGAGAAACCTGTCTATTAGCCACTCTATTTATTAGATATTAGGCTCAAATATCCTTTCATCTAGTTAATATTATGGACTATATTAATATTAGGGTGGCGATATAAAATAATCATTGGTTTATAGTAAAGGTTCACCAATAATCACAATATATTGCCAATGTTAAATAATTAGCTTGTCCGATCGAGTATTTCTATTATCTATATTTTGAAATTATCATAATTAACTATATAATTAAATTGTATGAAACCTATCAAATTATTACAAACTCAAAGATTATAATTGGCCTACCAATTATTCCTTAAACAATATAAGATTACCGAGGGTAGGGGGATTATAATTGGAGGGGAGACACATTAACAACAATATATCCTATAGAGAAATATCTTAGTTATAATTTATCCTTCACCAAATTTATAGTTAAAAATAAATGAGTATGTAATGTGAGCCACTTCTTAAATGGATTAGATATGTATGTATTATATTGTGTGACATCATAGGTGAATCGAGGGATAATGATTGTACATCATCACCGAATAAACAAGGGAGTCAATTGCTATTCGGTGTCCTTATGTGCTTGCCAACCTATCCTGATGCAGGTAGCTCATCCATAATCTCTCCCCCTCTCCCTCTCCATCTATCTCTCTTAGGAGGAATCATTTAGTATGTTTACATTATCTCTCCATAGGTTTGACATTATTTTGCTAAATGAAATTACTTTTAGGCATAATCTACCTCACATAACAAGTTCCTATAATTACAAACTGAATTTATTAATGCCCATAAAAGGGTTAATATGTCAAACCCCTCTATAATAACTATTATAGTATCCCCTACGTTATCATGCCAATTATAACGTAGGGAGAAATTACTGAATTAGCCCTATTATAGATTTGGTATGTCAAAGGTATCCCTATAACCCAATAATATCTTCAAGCATGAGCTATATAGTTTTATCTCACTTTTAGTTAGGTATTAACCCTAGTATTACTTATTAGGGTATTTTCATGATTACTCATTAATCAAGAAATTGCTATTATTGTACCCTATACACCTGTAATATAGTATCACATACGTTGGTGTGCTTACAATATGAGAATAGCCAATTGATATTAATAGTTAGTTGTTTATCTTATATTTCTATGTATAGTTAGTAGAATATAGTATTCCATTTATTTCTATTTAATCATATATCCATACTATAACCATAGCTAATGCCTAGCTTACGTAATCCTCACAAAGGTGGATTAACATAGATTTAATTATCCCATAGATAATAATTTGAGAAAATTATAAATAGAGGTAATATAGGTTCATCATCGAGGATGTCTTATAAATATACCCATAAACTATTCTCTTTGGCTTATCTAAATATATCCTTGGGTAACATCTACCTTAATTGTCTCACTAGCCACTCTCTTGGTCTTAATCTATTGTCAACAAATGACTAGGAATTGGAATGCTTAATATCCTTTGTATGAACTATGGTGGTAAAGTGATTTGGTCTTTGTGTTCATGCAGTAATAGCTATTATCAGAATAATTTGAGTTTTTCCTTTTCCTCCACATCATCAAATTAGCAAATTGGTGACCTACATCAATATATGTACACTATTCAAACAACTTAACTAGGATGAATATGTCTAAACTATATTACATTAAGATATATGGGATATTCCCTATATCCATCATCCATTTTCAAATCTGTCTTGATAAATGATATCCTATTTAAATCAGATGTAATTGATCACCCCTTTCATCCTATAGGATTTAAAATAGTACGATTATATCTTAGTGTATAATCTTAAGATATACGGGATAATTTTAGAGTAAAGGTTACTATTTCTACCCTATCAAACATGGATATGATAATTATTAGTATTCCTTAGGTCATGACATTATTTTAATCTATATAGTTGATATTAAGGGCTATTAGTACAATCTCTCTCTTCGAGTGTGATCTCTATCAAACAATCTTAACTAGTTTGTTATGGTCATATAGGTAATTGATAGTTATTATCTTCACTCCAAACTAAGTATCCACATAGAGTGATTATATGGTATTTGAGTAATAGAGGATAGGGCTAATTTCATACGAATGGTTCATATATCCTATGTTAGTATATAAGATCATTTTACGGGTAACCATTCCTTTGCTATCAAGCATCCATGGCTAAGGGTAGCTTAGCTTATTTACTAACCATATTAGTGATATGCATATAATTTGTTACCTATGTTTAATAGGTTGCCTAAGGAGATATCCCATTTAAAAGAATTATTAGGATGGTAATAAATTACCATTGAATCATAATCTATTCACCGTAGATAGATCCTTATAATATCTTTATCAAACGTAGAGTTGATATTACCATATAGACGTAAAAGATAGTTGGTGGTGATGGTGACCTTAGGGGAATACTCTTTTCCATAGTATACCTCTAGGATATGGTAATAACATCACCATGACTATTTTGGTTTAGCTACCATGAAGTTATAATAGCTTATCTATCAAAATCTAAGCTATCCAATAGGGTACTTCCTCATATATATATAAGTGATTAAGCCAATAGTGTTATAAGATATGCGCTAATTATTTAGATAATTAGAGATTTATGATTATTTTTATAGAATATACTGTTCATATATTTACAAACCAATAGGGGATATTAACTAAATTGTATAGAGATATGTTTACTTCAAACTAAGGAGTACCATTACAGTAAATTCACCCATATAAAAGTAGTCATAAATAGAGGTGAGGTGTGTAATAAAAATATAGAGAACCATTAATCCTATACAGCAACATCTATATATTAGTATAAGTGCGAAATTCTAGGTTAATTGGAGTTATAGTGTTTCAACCCTTATTTCTAATATCAGCATAAATAGTATCATATTATACTATAAGCTATTTAACATAGATTTAATTTTCCCATAGATAATCACCCAAGAAAATTATAAATAGGGCTAACATAGGTCCATCGTTAAGGATGTCTTATAAATATACCTATAAACTATTCTCTTTGGCTTATGTGAAAATATTCTTGGGTAACACGCACCTTAATTTCTCATTAGCCATGTTTACTCTCTCGGCCTTAATCTATGGTCAACGAATGTACTAATTTGAGAATTGGAATGCTTAATATCCTTTAGATGAACTGTGGTGGTAGAGTGATTTGGTCTTTTTGTTTATGCACTAATAGCTATTGTCACAATAATTTGAGTTTTTCCTTTCCCTCCACATCACCAAATTAGTAAATTGGTGACCTACACCAATATATGTACATTATTCAAACATTGAATAAAAGCCTAGATACACCCTAGATATTGTTATGGTTCAGCTCTCTATTTAAAAATAGAGTATACACATTTTGGTAATATCCCATGATCAGCTAATCTATTAACCAAGTATCCAATTCACAACATGCATATAGGTATCCTCATTGGCCACAATTAACTCATTCTGATTTTCTAATATCAGGCTAACCATCTACTATTTATGTCATTGGATATCTAATATCATGTACTCTTATCTAACTCCCTAATATATCGGTGATGCCACTTATAATAGTATCCATCGATCATCCTTATTGGAAAAATAAATCACGTTTATCTATACGTTGTTAGGGATAGGTAACCATTATAAGACTGATCAATAGTCATTAATGGCCAAATATGCTAATTTGAACATGATAGCTAAGATGATTACATTATTTGATTCATCTATCAAGTAATATAGGGTTATTTCTCGGACCAATGAAATTTAGTATTCATTATCCCTCAATAAAGGAACCAAATATGTATGTATAACGGTTATTACCATCGAATGTCTATATGTATGTACAATCCTAATAATTGTTAAAGGGTATATACCATTATCCTCCACTTATAACCTAGAGTATATTTATAATATTGATATCGTTGAGCATAAATTTGATCGTTCACTCATAATATATTCTGATTCTCAATGAGTTAAGCCCTCTTAAGCTAAATTATGTCATGTCAATCCCAAAATGGGATAATTAATCCTTAAAGCATATTTTAAGGAGACTCAATTGCATTGATCTGATATATACCCTAAATATAGTGATGGCTATCCATTCATTGCTATCATTTGGAGTAAAGATATTGTCAAGCGTTCTAACTCATGGTATAAATAGCCCTAATATTAAAGGGATAAACACATAGAGTAATCACCTTCTTGATATATTAAAGACTGATGTAAAATGGAATATGTAGTTATCATAAGAGAAATCCATGCATGCTCTCCACGGATTTCCATATGAATCACTCTCTCCTTAAATATACCATGGTACGTTATAGTTTGTAATAACCCTATTTATCATATAGTTCATTTGGAGTAAAGATATTGTCAACCGTTCTAACTTATGGTATAAATAACCCTAATATTAGTGAGATAAACACATACAGTAACCACTTCCCCGATATATTAATGATGATGTAAAATGGAATATGCAATTATCGTAAGAGAAATCCGTGCGTGCTCTCCATGGATTTCCATATGAATCATTCTCTCCTTAAAGATACCATGGTACGTTATAGTTTGTAATAACCCTATGTACGTTATAGTTTGTAATAACCCTACTTATGATAAAGTTAATTTAGGCTATCAACGAAATGTATTATGAGAGTGGGGCAATTAATAGTGTTCATTATTATGGGTGCAAATTACTTGATCTATTTTTATATCGATATCGTATCTAATGAGTTTGAATCTTGAGAGGTTTATTGATAGTGGGGTACTATCTAATAAGAGAGAAATTCATGTCTCTACTATTCGAGGATGACAAATGAGGCCAAATATGGAACTAATGATTCTATATTAGCTGATCATATAACCTCTCTGTAGGCGTTGATTATCTATATTAGACAACTATTGTGAATAAGGGAGACGAAAAGGGTGACCTAGGGTTATGATCGTCCATAGCCCTTCATGTTACTCTCCCTTAAATATATACATGATAATATATGCTATGATAACATATGTAATAACATAAATTTCATATTGTCAAACGTAAACTGAATTCTCTATCTGGTTCTATAGAAAGAAAGAATCCCGAAGGTAGATACGATTGATCTTAAACAATTGACCACTCGTCTTTTGGCCCTCCCTTAGTCCTCTATTATTTAATGCCTCTCTAATACTAAGAAAGAGTAGGAGGGAGAGGGATAGATAGAGGAGAGACAGGTTGAGAAACATGGAAAACATATTATAATCGTATTAGTCACATTATAATATTAAGTTAATAGTGCAAGTAACTTATATAGTATACACATTATCCCTTTGATAATATCTACGAGGCAATCCTTGTTTAATGATATAGAGGATTAGTTGTTCATATGGAGGGTAAACTATTAACCGTCCTTATTGAGTCTTCATATTTCTATGAAAAGAATAGGACTATTATTGTATAGTAGGAGATTCTATTAAATAGTACCCGAGCTCGTAAGGAATAAGGAGCTAAACAATTAGTTTTGGAGAGTTACCATGCATTAAAAAGGTGTCTATGGATATCGCATACCCTATTGGTAGGGCCAATGAATATTATAAAGATCAATAATTTTAAATGCACTATCGATTCCAATATATCCCAACTATAATATGGGCCGATAGTTGGAGGTTTGCACATACACCATACTTTGTAAATATTTCAACTATCCCCTGTATGGTAACCCACACAATTAGGGATAAGCAGCTAAATGACTAACGGCTTATTGGGGTCACCTAATCTCTCTAGTAAAACCCTTTCCACAGATCGGGGTGAATTAGACGAATAAGTTAATTAATACTTAATGGGTGTTTACATCTTCATTAGAGTTTGATTATTTCCTTCTCTCTATCATGTATCAATGTAATTATAGGAATACCACTCTTCTCCATCAGCCTCTCTCTAACATTGCTAAGAAAGGAGGTCTCAAGTCTCATTTATACTCCTATATATATGGCTAAGGTCTTATGTCTCATTTAGAATCCTATATATATATGACTAAGATAGGTTGTTAATACAAGTCAAATATGGTGAATCACATTGATAGTTAAGTTAGCCAGCCATATGGTGAGACAATCTATAGAAATGGAGTCTGAATGATAGATGGTCTCATGAGAGAGGGGTTATGTTAAAGTAAATTACCAAACTTGTATAATGTCATCATCAAATCCTTAGTCGAATTTCCAAAGATTTAGATTGGAAACTCTCCCTATATAATGATGGACTAATATGATCTTGTTTATCTCCCTCTTTTTAAGATTCTCTAGGGGTTTTAATATTTCTTTTGATTATTCATCCTACTTTGACTATCTCCTCATAGGATAGACATTATTCACACTATTTACAAGTTGGCATGTACTAATTTATATAGCGGAACATCATAATTAAATTTAATAGGGAGGGAGAGAAGGGCCTATGTGCAATAAATGGGAAAATATCTCTCGTTAACCTCCTTTTTGGTACTTGGTGAATAAATAATTTCATATTATATTAATGGTATATTAAAAAAAAGACTAGTACTATTATGAGGGTACCAAACTCCATAACCCTATCCGTCCATCACCAAATTTATACTTTAGGTTATCATAGGGAGAAGTTAATATCCTAATTCAAGTAATTTGGTGATGTCTCCATCTCTATATAATTGGCAAAGTATTTATTCCCCTTAGTTCGATACCTCTGGACTTTCTATTACTTGAATTAGGGAGGGAGAGATTATATTGTTAATATAAATTATATATATTATAAGATATAATTATGAAATACTAAAAAATATTATTCAATACCTAGATGTATTTAAAAATTATTGTTGTTTGATTATTTTCAGATTATTCCATAAATAATAGTCTAATATAGACTAATTAGGGGACCATTTTATGGTACTCTATTTGTAGGCTTTTTCTCAAAAATATATTGTTTTCAATAATATAGTCATAAAATATTGAGACATGTAAAGGTTTAAAGAGGGAGTAATCATATATCCCCATAGTGATATCTTATTTCATGGGTTATTGATACCTTCACCCCAATCATTTATGTATAAACCCTATAATAAAATATGGGACCATCCATTTAAATATTAGTCTCAATTAGCTTATAATTTTTCCTGAGTCATTTATGTTTTCCCTTACCTGCAATATATTATATTAGGGGTGACAACATCCTCTCCTTGGGTCTTATATATCAAGGATTACCATATACCATAAGGAATAGTGGCCTAATATACCCTCGTATATGAATAAGGAGATGCCGGATGAACTATATCAAGGATATCTATAAAAGGTAAATATCTCCCTCTCCCTATGGGTTCCCCTATATGAGACTAAAGAGGAGGGGAACAAATATTAATACCCTTTCTATGGACAACACCATAGCACTAACGCATTCTCTTTGGGTGGTAAGGCATTTTGAAGAACATTCTTGATAATGTTACGAATTGGGACATTTAATAATATCATTTATAGCATTAGTGTTTGTCTCACTTTTTCAATCAATCATTATTGCAAATAAATATCATAAGGACTTTTATCCAATTCTATTGAATTTACATACTTAAATTAAGAAACTTAGGGGGAATTAAATTTTACTATAAAAGGGAAGTAAGGAATATATCAAGGTGACTATGTTATGTCAATCTTATTGAGGAACCTTTGTATCCATTACTAAGCTCGTGTGAAAGCGAGTATTAGCGATTATTATTTTTAATAAGCTATAAACATTTAAACCACTATCATGGGGCTTGTTTTAATCCATATAAGGATTTCTTCAGCTTGCAACCAATAATATCAATCTTCACCTATTATTTGAGGATTGAATTTTCCAAGTGTATACCAATAGATCCTAATATTTTCATATTGTAGCAAGTTTACATAAGATTGTCATAATAACTAGTGGAGACATAATTTCAAATGTACTTATCTTTCTCTCTCTCCATAAGCTTCACTTAGAAAGATCGAGCTAAGTTATTCTTCTATAAAAAGTGTAGTTGTCTTCCATGACTCGCTTCTAATTAGTTAATGGCATTCGTAAATGATTAAAATATAAGATTTTGTATCCCCGGACTTACTAGTAACCAAAGCTTCTTTCCCTCTCCTAATTAATTATCCATATTCTAAAAATGTGTGTTAATAGCTATGGTTACAATATTCCCTAGGTTCGAGAGGAAGAGGGAGAAAAAAGGGTTAAGCACCTCATCTTGAAAGTCGGTTAGTAATTTCAAGAGGGGTTACAATTATCAAAACCTTCTAAATGTCTAAATATCATCCTTTAAGGGGTAAATATTAGGAGTCCCTACAATATAGAGAGACCAAATATTATATTAACGAAATTGAGAGGAGAATTTTGTATTTTAGTTAGAGAACCATATGATCCAAGCCATAATTACCAACATGTCTTTCTTAAATTTGGTGCCTCTTAATCAAGGTGTTTACCATAGATTTAACTCCTTAATATGTTAATGATGGGTTCTAAATATTTTATAGTTTACCTCTCCAATTAAGTTACATACATACATATATATATATATATATGTGTGTGTGTGTGTGTGTGTGTGTGTGTGTGTGTGTACCTAATTTTTACACCCAAATCCTAGATATAGATTGGTATAAGTTATGAATAAATTCTTTTACGTTCTTATTAAACCATATTGACTAGATTAATATTCCTCCTTTTGAGAGGACCCTTATTAATTCACCTATCTCTGATTATATCAACATGATGCAATTATAGGACCAAGTCTCTCATTAATATAATATTTAAGATTGTGGAGTCATATCAATTAATATTAAGTTATTATGATAATTATAGAGAGAGGTATTGATACTAAAATAAAGACATGTTCGGAAAATTATCGACTTGCAACCAATAATATCAATTTTCACCTATTGTTGGTTCATATAAGGCCTAATAATCCCCCTCTATCCGAGATTGAGGGAGAAAGAGAGGAGAGAGTGAGCACTACAAAGGGTTATCCTTAACACTATTGAGTAATCGTATTATATGTGCATGTAAGGGATAAAGGGAGAGGAGGGAGAAAGGGAGGGAGAGAATTTTGTCAGTTGTGTTCTATTGACTCACTATATATTTGGAAGAGGGAGAGAGAGGACCATAAAAGAGAGATGTTTACACTTAAGAACATAGATCAAATGAGGTAATGGTAACAATTCCTTTGATAAAATCCTGGTTTTATAACCAGAATCATTAAAGTGGAAAGAGTTTTGTTCATTAAGATCAATTCGTAAAAATGGATTAAAATCATTTGGCAATGTTTCTCACTTGTCAAGGATTTTGTATTGTCCTTCTCGATCAAGTGCCTAATCAACCTATGATAATATAGAAGAGGGAGGGGTCATAAGTGTTAGCTTCGTCATCCAATAGGTCAATGTCAAGGAGTGGAATTAATATATGTTCAATCTCTCTCCACCAGTTAATATAATCTGTGTATTATAACAATTTTAGTTGTTTTCACCAACTTATAATGAGGATAACGACCAAATTAGGATTAATATGTTGGCCTCACTTTCTCTTTACATAAGCCAGCCATGCATTAGAAAAATTCTTAAAATTCTACTAGTTGGAGGGAGATAATCAATCATAATACCACTTGATTAAAATTAGGTCGTTTTTGATGCTTTACATATGAAACAACTAACTATCAACTTGTGTATGACCATCCTTTAAAAACTGTTGATGACCTTTTCATTATCGGCCTTATAACACTTATAACAATGATCATAATATTATTCACCCATTCATGGTGATCATCGAGGGGTATCTTATTTATCTCATTTGATTAATATGCTTATCAAACATGCTTGATTTGGGTGATGGACAAGATGGGCAAAGTAGTGACCATCCTCTCTTTGGATTTCATTATTATAGGAGGGCCAAAACTCCTAGAGTAGGGGATCAATAGATAAATGCTAATATAATTTGATTGAAGCTAATATACTCGATCTATGTATCAATCTAATAGCATGGTCGTTGAGTAATTTTCATTATGTCATGAGGAAATCCAATAAGATATTAATCTAAAATAATTATCATAATTAACATGAGTATGGTATCGCAAGTATCAATAGGGATAATTATTCCCCCATATATCATCAAGTTACTATTAAGATAGAAAGTCTTCTACGATACTCATGTTAATTATCCCCGATACCTATTGTTAATATATTTGTCCTCCTAGCATTTGAGAAAGGAACTTATTGCTAAAGAAACTCTATTAACACACATTGATTAATCCATTATAAATACGCATACTCTTTGAGCAATGGTATAAACACTAATAACCTCTATTTTATCTACTAACTATTAATGATGCCCTTAAGAACTTGGGTATATTATTAACTTAGATATAGGTTAAATAAACAACGTGTTTAACATACTATTCCAAAGCCGATGGACCAATCTTTCCTAGCCCTCTCTCCTAAGCCTAGAATGATTTCTATATCATATCCATATGTACATTAATATTATTATAGAGATACAAACATGCACTAATATACTCCATTATGATAAATTTCCTTAATGCTTTACGAAAAGGGTTAGCCCAACTATTTTATTAGAACTATGTCCGAACAAAACACCAACTAAGTGTTGCATGCGTAACTTATATAGCATTTACTATATCCTCGTATACAAGGGAATTTTGCTAGAGCTAATTATTTGACCTAAATTATTAAGTTATACCCTAAAGAGATAAAATAAGTGAATAAATCTAACATTCTAATCTCCCTCATAATTCTATGAAAATGAGATAGGCCGCCATATGACCAACTTATTAATTCTATCTCCTATCGGGGCTATAAATTAATCATTATTCTAACCTCTCCCCCTGGTTGTCACTACGGGTAGCCATTCCTATCTAATGGTAAATAGAATGTACCTAGAGATGATAGGATCTAATATAGTTTCATATAACCAATGATAAGATATTTATATTAATATAATTATAGAGTTATTTGGGTATCTCCATTCAAGTAGAGTATCATATCACCTCATCATGTTGAAATTAGCTTTTTCTCGTATACCCTTTATAATAATATTAACATTGCAATAAATGGGTTTTCCACTAGTAGATTTCTAATCAATAAAAAATATTAATAGGGTTTATAATGCAAATTAGGTTTAACATTAGGAGAGAGAGTGATGATAATTATGGAGGAATCAACAATATCTAAATTATTGGGACCTCACCATCAAATACCTTTCATCTAGTCCCACAATTATCATCCTTTATGATACTATGAGCATAGTAATAATAATTCACTTCCTCTTAATGATAGATCTTAGTTTTCTTTAGTTTGAGGGACTGAATATATGCTAACTCTGGTTAATCTCCATGGGCCCTAGCTAATACCCTCTTCGGTCTTGTAATGTTAATATTATCATAAGCCTTAGGTTTATGAAATTATTGCTCGACAACATAATCTATTCCTATTTTTACAAAATTCAAAATAGACCATGCATATATGGTTGTTTATCAAACTTGTATTAATGTCTTTCACCATTAAATACCCTATCATATTACATTCAATTGATCGTTTATCAAGCGCAAGCACCATTAATGATCCAATGATCGATAAGCATATAGGTATAATCCGCTCAATTGAAAAGGGAGAGAAGGAGATAACCATGGTATTCTTAATAGTCTCTATTATTGTTTTATGACTATAATATGATAATCAATTTCACGTAAGTTCTTCATATAGAAAATTAATATAAGTGATATTGCATTCAAAAGTGTATATCCGAAGGATTATTATTATAGTCACAACTGATCTATAAGGCATATTTCATGTTATATTACACTATATCATGAAAGGTAGCTTATTATAGTAAGGTGCATACCATCTTTTAGATTGAATTATGATTATCATTTTTCTTTACAATTATTATTGGAGTTCAAGTAATGTAGATAGTTGTATAATATTCATACCTAGTTATGATAGTTTGCGGATATAACCTCAAAAGAGGTATGAGCAATATTATGAGGATCCTCCCACTCTCTATCTATCACGTTTATATCATTTCACGAATGTTACCAATTTGGTTAATTCCCTTTAAAGAGAGAGATGGTTGGGAAAGAGGGTCGAGGAATAGAGGGATAAAGAGAATACCTCCATATGGGAAGGATGACTCATCTTCTCGAGAGGGGGACAAATTTGGTAACATTAATGATGGAAAATAGGTAGAGAGGTACCCGGTGATATACAATTTAGGCACCTAGATGCATTTCTGACTAATTTTATAAAGGGGGCTCATTCTAACTCTATATAAGATTGGGTTCATAATATATTCTTTGTGTATGTTCAATACTCTTTGAGAATGAGGGACATGGCAACCTCTCCCTATCACATACCTAAAGTCAATGAGTGGTCTCTCTTAATGATAAAAACCTTCAAGTCATTAGGCTATTGATTTACAACACAATTGACAAAATTCTCCCCCTCCCTTTCTCCCTCCCCTCCCTCTATTTGAGATTGGGGGTGAGAGAGGAGGAGAGAGAGAGTGAGCACTACAAAGGGTTATTATTAAGACTATTGAGTAATCATATTATATGTGCATGTAAGGGATAGAGGAAAGGAAGGAGAAAGGGAGGGGAGATCATTGGTGTATCCCTTAGATAGAGGGAGACACGTTTATCTTTCCCTCTCTACTAGTATCCAATGCGGTAGGATATCATTTGAGGAGAGGAGTATATTTTTGGAGTCATTAGTAACTCATACCATTCCTTTGTGCTACCTCATCTCCCTAAAAGATGAGATGAATATTGTTTCATTAGGAAATGAGTGTATGGTCATATAGACCTTTATAAACCGAAAGGTTAAATAACCTATTATATTACTCCACCTACACTAATTATCTACCAAGTTTATGTGTTGATTCATCATTCCCTTATGTAAAAGCTACCTTTCACGATATAGTATTTGATTCATCATTCCCATGTCATCTCTTTCATTAATAGAAAGAGATAGGAGTCCCCTTGGCGAAAGAGGATATTAATCACTAATGAGAGAGTAAAACTAGTAGTGAAGAATAGGTAATAAAAGTTGAAGATATTCCTAAAGAGACAAAGAAGTCCTCTCGGCTCTCCCTATATTTAAATATTACATAGTATATTTTATAGGATATAGTAATATTATATTGTATTAATTTACATTGTTTAACTATCACAAATATTTATAATTAAACCATATAATAGTTAGATAAAATGATACAAGGATGAGGTTTTGTGTGATGTTGTCACGAGTGAGATGGTAAGTATTACTCTCCTAATTTTGAATGAGGGGGATCATCAATGGAAGGGATGTACCCAAGTAACTAATTTCCCCCTCTCCAACCAAGAAACAGATCATTAGGGGCATATAATATTGAGAGCAACCTTTATAGGGGAGGGGGATTTATAAGGCCCATCCCTCAAAATTTAAAATCCACCTCTATTCTATCACCTCCATAGAGGGGTAGGGACTATTATATTGATTAGACCAACTCTGATCTTATATCTCTCCCTCTCTCGACCAAGAGATAACAATCTAATTGAAAGGAACATCTTATTATCTTTTTAAGTCGATACTGAACAAGTTTTAATCTAGATGGTGAATAATATCAATTTAGGTATAGAAGTCCTTTTGACTTCGCTTGGGAAACATTAGTAAGAGATGGAGAGATAAGGCTTAAATGATGGGTCTATATTTCAAATGGATACTATTTCAATTTTTCCTAATAAAATTATACCTACTATTATTTACATACCAATCACGGGGTAGATTATCAAGGATTAACATTTCCTTTGATTGGAACATCCGATCAATTGCTTCGGCCATTAATGTATACAATTCCCTTATAGAAATGAGGCAATAATATATGATACTATTGCCTAAGCCAATTATAATAATACTTATAACAATGTGTGTGTGTAATATAATTTATATTAAAAAAATTATAAAGTTTTACATTATCGAAGGAAGGAGTCCGATACCAATTGAAGGATCGTAATAGCACAATTTATCTCAAAAATAGATTGAATGGGTATCATGCATTATTCCTAAATCGATCATTCACATAAATTTGTAGCAACATCAACTTAGCCATATAAATGAGAATCTAAAATAATATAATAATCGACACTATAAATTACTACTATTGGAATTTTATATAAAAGGCAAATATCTCCCTGAGAAAATTCAATAGATAAGATATTTAAGTTAATGATTCCTAAATATCCAAATAAATAATCTAGTGGTATATAATTATTAAAAAGAGGAGTCATGGAAGGTAACTTTCCCTGTTAGTATTTTACGGATATTTTGGTAAACAGATTAATAGTGGAAGCATGCTTTAGGAATCATTAATCAAGATAAGTATTATATGAGTATCCCCTATAATCTATCTCCATCTCTCTCCTGTTAAAGGAATATTCCTTACGAAGCTTAGAAGAGAGGGGTTCGAGATACCCTCCAATTATTATCTAAATAAGATTAGTCATGTGTGGGAAACTATATTTTACCAATTCACTATTATCATATAATTTTTAATAGTTTATCTATTTATAGTATACCAATGTACTCTTAAAGGAGGTACATATATCTATAGTCCTATTATCATAATGAGGAATATTATGAAAATGTTTTAATAACGCTGAAAGGTTAGCCCTCTAAATTTAATTAGGGGTATTAATTTTTATATTTTTATTATAATAGGAGTACCCATTAGAACGTATCAGCAGGTGATATTAGCACAATAAATATTAAAGCATATATGATATCATATAAAATAAAGGAGATCAAATTTCTAATGTTAGAAAGGTGTCTTAAATATCACAACATCTCTCTCAAGTACATTAAATGTTATGAGTAAGCTATGATTTAGAATTCTTGGAACGATTTGATCGTGTATTATATAGCAATTCCAAATAATATCTACTCTATAAGGAATGGGCTTCTCTACCATTATATATTCACATAAATAATAGGTAGTACTACTCTTATTATGGTATATATCACTTTTGGGATATAGAGGTCTTATCATCCCGCAAATGTATTAGGTCCTCTCCATAGGTTATGAGACAACATAATTCCAAGCTCCTCCACTTTGAAAAGGAGTGATTATACCCAATCCTTGGAAGATACCCTCATACAGCTATCCATTTTAAGGATGGTGATCATAAGCTCCACAAATTATAATGGAGCTTTTTTATATCTTGTTCCCCTTTTAATACCCTACTTATATAATATTATTGTCCCAATTACAGAAATTGGTTAACTTCCAAGGATTTTTTAACCTCATATATTATCCCAGTCCCTATCATAGTTTGATAGGCGATAAGAGACCATTTGAGTGGTAGATTATGGAGATATTTGAGGGGATAATAGTGTATAGCAATTCCTAAATAATTAAGATGAATATATCCGGTTAGAAGGGATAAAGACATTGACCAATAGACGATTGACTATAGGTTGCCACTAAGCTCGATAATGCCCTCAATAAAGTTAGTCCCCGACTAACCACCATCCTACCAAATAAGGTCATATATTTAACAATTGTCCAGTGTTCTTATAAACCATTATATTAGCCTAATAAATAAGGGATCTGTTTATAATGATTACTACCAAATCTCACATGATTTAGGTATAAACAAGATTGATTCCACCATCTCTAGGTATTACACAAAGTGATTTAAGAGACCCCTTTTGATGGTCGGATATTATGTCGAGGAGACTAGATTGTTCATCTAAATGACCTTCTATTAGATCTATAGTTTAGGCTTTTTCCTCAAAAATATTTCTCCAACCGTTGTCTCTCTAACATTGCCCTTCTTTGGAAAGAGAGAGCCCATCTTTACTGATCAAATTTTAGGAAAATATTTTATTAAATATATTAACCAATAAAAGTGGATTGGATGATTGGAGATTATGATTTAGGCATTAGAACTTGCTTTAAATTAATAGAGCATATAGGGTTAGATCCTTTGTGGTATATCCACCAAGTGCGCGCTCTCTCTTTCCATTTTAATAAGCAATGGAATTTGATCATGTATAAATATAGGAACAACATGTCTATACGAGTATTGATAATAGAATATCATAGTAGGAGAGAGAGGAAAAATTGATAATAATAGAATTGGTTAAGAGTTAATTAGGAGAGGTTGTTATACATTATCCGAGTGCCTATTATCATCCACCTTTGGATGAACTGTGGTGGTACGACGATTTGGTGTTTGTGTTTAGGCACTAATATCTATTATCACAATAATTTGAGTTTTGCCTTTCCCTTCATATCACCAAATTAGTAAATTGATAACCTACACCAATATATTTACTCTATTTAGACATTGGATAAAAGCCTAGATACCCAATATCATATTACCAAGAAAATAATCTATCATATTATTAATCTATTTTATTATTATTAGAGAGGCATCAATATATGATAATATGGTAAAATAATGATTTCAATTATACCATATTATAATATATTAGGTAGAAAGCTATGTATCGATAGCCTTGATAATGGCCCAATTTAAAGGATAACGGATAGAGGGTAGGCTAATTATTAGGGTCTCTAACTTTTAAATGATATTTTATCTAAAATTTAATCAGGTTCTTACATAATCTTACAATAATAATCCTAGAAAGTATACCGTTATAAAATTATTACTAGAGGGTAATCGAGTAAGGGATAGTATTGGAAGGAGTAAACACCTCGATTTAATAAGTATTGGTGTATAGTAACCCATCTATAAAGGTAACACCTAAAAACTAAGGAGCAACCACTTAATTATATGAGATGACACATTTCATGCGAATGGTTCTATATGAATCAACTTAATTATGACTTTAATAAAAATGTCCAAATATTAATCTATGGAGAAAATTAAGTAGGGGAATCTACTTATTACTAATATAATAATAGGTCGAGAGAAGGACTCCATAACTCTTAATAGGGAGAGTTTGTAAATGGATATTAACCCCTCTAAGCGAAGAAGGGAGGGGTTAATGACATCTTGCTATCGTTCCTCTATCTTTAGCTCTATCCTAATGAACAACAATCGGATTGAACCATATCTCTTGGTGTATCTCTCCCTCATCTTCATATAAATTTAAATAGCGAACTATCATAATGTCTTGACTTATTCATTACGCATAAATTAATCACTCTTCCTTTT